TGACACTTTAAATCAATGTTTCAAGAAACAACAACAAAAAAAAATGAACAAAAAAACAGATAAAGACAAAAAAGTAGCCATTGATATCTAAACAATATGTAGTAGTACAGTATATAGTATCCAAATCAAAATGTAATCCAATTAATTTATGTGTGATTTATGTGTAAATTATGTGTAAATTATGTGCAATGTCTTAGCCACTAGGGATTGTTACATAGGGCTATACAGGCATCTAGTGGCAACACAATGATATTACAGATACTAAATTGTGCAAAATGTTTATCTTAACAGTCAATTTACAAATAATGCATTCAGATTTGTGGAACTCAATGCACTGAATTTCCACAAATTAGTGTCGTTACTATGACAACCAATTTGAATGTGACAAGCAACTGGTGTCTGAAAAGAATTATATATATATATATATAATTTGTGTGGGGTGTGGGATTTCGCCTAGGGCGTCAAATTGGCTAGAAACGGCCCTGGTTCCCCTCCATCCTGAGCCAGACCAGCATCACTGAACCAGTTACTTCAGAAAGCTCACAGGTAAGAACCACTGACTGATTCCTCAACACACCATCAGGGGGCTTTACTAAAACTGAAATCAAAAACAACATGAACGAATTTTTAAATGCATGAACACTTTTAAAGAACCATACTGCTTTGAATAGCTGATGATCAAATGTAAGTGAAAAATAAAAGTATTTATTGCTGATTGATTGACTAATTGAATTTTACAAACCTCTGCTGGTGTGTAATTTCGTGGTTGTGTAGATGCCAGTTTCTGATCCACGCAGAACTTTAGAAAAGTTCAATTAAATCAGAGTGAACAAATATTTAGTTGAGTTTCTCTGTTACAAAAAAATTATGAAAGATTATAATTATTATTTAGCGATAGGGTTAATCAATTACATCAGTCACAAACATAATTCTTACTTATATATTAAATAATAATATGATACATTTTGTAGTTATCTGACTAGATTTACATAAATGCAATCATGTCACAAGAGCATATCCTTGTTAAATGGTTAAGAAAATTCAAAATATCCTATTTCACTAACTGATAATTTTCTGGACAAATTCAACTCATTCAACAATAAAATAAAGCAAAATTATGAAAATATAGCTATATTGTTTTTATTAGGTTCAGATCGGTAACACTCACCTTCTTGAGATTTGAAACAAAACCCACTTCTTCACATTATTATAAAAATAAAGATGATATGCATGGTGTTGTGTTCAGTCTTATTTCTGAGAGGATGATGAAGTATCACTCTTGTCATGCAGAAAAAGTGGAAAGGAAAGACAAGTGTTTTAGAAATTGACTCGAAATTAGACCATACAGCTGGTACTAACAAATGTGGTAGCATATTGCAGCAGGATGGTCTTGAAATATGTTGTGGTAATGATGTGCATAGTTAGCCTTCATAAAATTTTATAATAAAATAGTTTTTGAATGACTTTTGAATGTCCTGTTATGCACTGTAAGTGTGCTATTTGTTGTTGTTGGGGTTTTTTGTCATTGTTGTTCAATGTAATCTCAACTTTTATTATTACATTTTAGATATTAAAATAAACAAAATAATACTAGCATTTAATAGACAAGTTGGTTCAGCTGAGCTAATAAAGCATTCCATTGAATAAATTGTCACCGCTTGATGACTGCTGCCCTCTTCTGGTAATGTTTTAGTAAACAATTTTTCAAAGAGCACCTCTGGAGCTGCAGCTGGAATGGTATTACTTACACAGTTCAAAAAAGAAGAAAACATTCTTTACATTACTTATTCTATAATAGATAGTCCTTTGTGTGTATTCCTTTGTCTACGCACACGCACAATTGTAACTCGTTCAATATGACAATTGTGACAATAGCCTATTATTTTTTAACCTTTTTCAGTTTTAACTAGGCTACATTTAGCCAAATTGTTTCAGTAGCGCCTAGTGCGCGAACGAAAAGCCAATTCTCGCGATACTGTTTCTGTTACGGGAGAAAGTATCAAATATGGCGATGTCCGTAACACTGCAAGGTTTCATTACAATTTACATGATGTTATTTTAATAAATGAGTTCAGCTGAGACCCGATTTGTTTATTCAAACCCGATTTAACGGACAGCAGCTTTGAATGTTTTTACTCTGCAGTGTATTTTCGTTATCAAGCACAGACAACACAAACTGAGCAGCAGAGACCACCGAATGACACACAGCCCACTTCTCCGTCCCTGTGAGTGATTTACCATGAAAACACACGCACACTGTATATGACCTGACACATGTTTTATATCTTTATTTATATTTTTAAAACACGCTCTCTCTTTTACGTCTTTAGATAATAGGCCTACTTCATTAAAAACGGCACCAAATGCAAACTGTACATTTTCGATCTTTTTATAGTTAGTAAACTCCGGCACACGTTTTGATTTAGATTTTCAGTGTTTGATTCATGGACAAGAATACAAATTCGCGGAAATGACTCGTATAGTAAAGTCACAGTTGTAG